TCAAATTAAACAATTACTGAAGAATATACTAAAGACATTTTACTGATTGTGTTATTTCTGTTCCTGGTTATTTCACTGAAAATCAAAGAATTGCAATGTTAGATGCTGCTAAAATTGCTGGTATTTCATGTTTAAGATTAATGAACGAACACACTGCAACTGCTTTAGCTTATGGTATTTATAAAACTGATTTAAGTGAAACAGAACCACGTCCAGTTGTTATTTTAGATGTTGGACATTGTAATACTACATGTTCAGTTATTTCTCTTCTTAAATCCAAAATGAAAGTTCTTAGTGTTGAATACAATTGGAGACTTGGAGGACGTAATTATGATGAAGCACTTGGACAATTTGTTAGAACAGATATTCAACAAAAATGGAAAATTGATCCAATGAATAATTTAAGAATGTGGAATAGAATTTTATCAGGAATTGAAAAGTCTGTTAAGAGAGTTATTTCTAGTGGAAGTCCAAAAGCTATATTAAATCTTGACACTTTATATGAAGAAAGAGATTATCATATGGAATTTACACGAGAAAAATTTGATGAGTTAACTTCTCATCTTAATAATGAAATAATTGAACTTATAAAAAGAACTATTGCAAAGGCTGGTATGACTATTGAACAAATTCATTCAATTGAAATTACTGGTTCTGGTACCAGATTAAATACTCTTCAAGATGCTATAGTGAAAACTCTTAACAAACCATTATCTAAAACAATTAATTGTGAAGAATCTATTGCACGTGGATGTGCTATTGCATGTGCAGAATTACAGCCATATTTCAAAGTAAGAGATTACGTTGTTGAAGACCTTCCACCATATGAAATCAATATGGGATTTAAGACTGATAGCAAAACTATTGCACCAATAACATTCATTGCTAAAGATTCTTCATTCCCAATTACTAGAGTTCTTAAAATTAAAGATGCTAATGGTCTTCATGTAGATATTAATTATAGTGATAATAATGTTTTCTTCCCAGGAACTTTAAATAATGGAATTACTCTTGATGTTCCAGAATTACCAAAAGCTCAAACAAAAACACCAGAATTAAAACTAAGAATTGCTCTAAATAAAAGTGGAATTTTAGAACTTGTAGATGCTTTCTTATGTGAACAAGTAGAAGAAGAAGTAGAAGAAAAAGAAGTTATTGAAGTACCTGAAGAAGTTAAAGAAGAACCAAAAGCCCCTGCACAGGCTGAAACTGAAAAGAAAGAAGAACCAAAGAAAATGGAAGAAGAAAAACCAAAAGAACCTGCTAAAGCTGAAGAAGAAAAGAAAGAAGAATCAAAGAAAATGGAAGAAGAAAAACCAAAAGAAGAAAAGAAAGTTAAAATGGTAAAAAAGACAATTACTAAAAAAGTAAAGAAAATGGTAAACAAAGAATATCCTGTTAAAGTTAATGTTCATAGTGTTGGTATGTGTGAAAAAGATATTAGTAAATATCTTGCTGAAGAAGCTCAAATGCAAGTTGATGATAAATTATTTATTGATACTGCTCATGCTAAAAACAATTTAGAAGCTTTTGTATATTCTATGAAGGATAAATTGTTATTTGGTAATTTAGCTGAATTTACAACTGAAGATGAGGCTTCAAAGATTTCAAATGAATTAGAAAAGTATGTTGATTGGTTGTACGAAGATGGAGAAAATGAAACTAAGAGTGTTTATTTGGCAAAACTTGCTGAGGCTGAGGGATTAGTTAAACATATTGTTGCAAAAAAAGAAGAGAAAGAAAGAAAAATTGCTGAAGAAAAAAGAAAGAAGGAAGAAGAAGAGAGAAAGAGAAAAGAAGAGGAAGAAAAAAAGAAAAAAGCAGAAGAAGAAGCTAAAAAGAAGGCAGAAGAAGAAGCCAAAAAGAAAGCAGAAGAAGAAAAGAAAAAGAATGAGGAAAAACCAAAAGAAGAATCAAAGAAAATGGAAGAAGAAAAAACTGGTGCTGCAGAACCACCTCCAGTACCTAAATAACAAAATAATTTAACTGTTCGTGTTGGATAAAATCAAAATCTTTCTGTTTTAAGAAAAAAGTATAATTAATTAAAATGATGAAAAAAAGAAATTAACTTTGAAAATTGTGATTAATGGAGGAAATTAATGAGAAGGAACAACGAAATATCATATTTACTGTCAATGGAATTGAAATTCATTTTCCATATCAATTCATTTATCCAGAACAATATCAATTTATTAAAACAGTTACTAGTGGAGTTACAAATAATAAAAAACCACCTCACAAACAAATTATTATTGAAATGGGTTCTGGAACTGGAAAGACAGTAAGTATTATCACTGCAGCAAAAGGGTTGTTGGATAATCAAGGAAGTAGTATCTCACATACGATTTATTGTACTCGTACTATG